AGGAGGCTCAGGGAGGGCAGGGCCGGCTGCACAGCCGGGGTTCAGGGGGACAGCTGGTTGGTTTTCAGTGGTGTTGGTATCCAGAGCAGGGCCAGGAACGTGGTCAGAGGGCTGGGGCAGCTCTTGTGGAGACAGGCTGGGAGCTGGGCTGTTCAGCCTGGGGAAGAGGAGGCTCTGGGCAAAGCTTAGAGCGGCTTCCAGGGCCTGAAGGGGCTCCAGGGCCTGAAGGGGCTCCAGGAAAGCTGGGGAGGGGCTTTTGACAGGGGATGGGAAACATGAGACAAGGGGAACTGTTTAAAACTGAAAGAGGATATAGATTAGCTATTGGAAATAAATTATTTCCTGTAAGGGTGGTTGAGACACTGGCACAGGTTGCCCAGAGAAGCTGTGGATGCCCCATCCCTGGTTCAAGCCCAGGTTGGATGAGGGGTGTTGCAGGGTGGTCCCTGCTTCAGAATAGCTGGAGAGAAAGGATGTTGGTCCCTGAAGATGTTTGTGTGTCTGCTTTTGGTGGTTTGTTGGGTTTGGTTTCTCTTCCTGGCTTTTTGGTCCTTTGAAGGAGAACGGGCTTCTTTCTTAAAAGCTCTAGGTGAGGTGGGGAGGCTGTGGTGAGGGCCGGGAGTAGCTCGGGTGCTTTGGCAAGTGGTGGGTTCCTAGGAAAAGAGGCCGTGCCATACGTCAGGGCTGAGGAGAGCTGGCAGAGCTGTGTGGGGGTGATATTTCCTGACCACGTGCTGGGCTGCACTATCTTCCTGTTAAGCAGTCTAACCTGTAGAAGGAAAAATAACTGGGGTGTTTCTGGTTATTTGCTACCACAGCAACTGGAGCTGCTTCCTGGGCTGTCGGCTGGCCTTGGCTAACCCTTCACCTCACACTGAGCTGATAGGGAACAGGCTGAGCCCCTGCCAGGAAGACTGAGCCAAAGATGATGCCTTTCTTAGTGAGCTTCCATTGCATGGGGATAGTGAGGGCACTTGTTCTAATGTGCACAGGACCCTGCTGTTGCACTGACCTTTTTATAAAAGAGGAATCACCTGCCCCCCTGTTGCTCGGGGGACAGATGCCTGGGGTCCCCCCAGCAGAGTTTATTTTGGACAGCTGTTGTGCTGGGTCACTGGTCTCATGCTAATTTTTGCAAAAGGCAGCGCTGCTGATTTATGAACTGGCAGATTGCAATGTGGTTTAGTCTATAAATAGCTGGGATGTGTGGGGGGAAGGATATTAATGCTGAGCATGGCCCCATGCCAGTTCACTGGCTGTATCTCTAGCTGCAAGGCATAGCAGGGAGGGTTTCAGGCAGCATTTAGGCATATGGCAGTGGGGAGGAAGTAGCTTTGATAGGGTGAAATGGATCTCTGACTGCTTCACATCACAGATAGATTTGGGATGGGATGTAACACGAACAAATGGAGAGCTATGGCCTAATGGGAGCTGGCTGGCTCAGGCCACGGTCTGCTCTTTCCTCCTGCTCTCGGGCTTTCTGGAGCAGCAGCTGCTGGTGAGGAAGGTTCTGTGAACCAAAGCTCGCAGGCCTTTCTCCTCCTTTGCAGGACTACCTAGGCCTTGCAGGGTGGGTTAGAAAATGCCCTTGTTTGGCGTCTTTCCTCTGGGGCAGGTGATCTGATTGCTCAGAAGCTGTATGAAAACAGTTGCCCGGCTTTGGCTGGGGTTTCCTGGGGTGGGCAGGGGAGGCAGCCCCTGCTTCTCTAGCCTGGAGGAGAGAAGGCTCCGGACGCTGGAGGAAGCACAGCGCGATGAGGCCGCAGCTCCCCCCCCCGGCCCGGCCACGCTGCGGGGCGAAGCCGCACAATG